CACAAAGTCCTCTGGTAACACGAATCAAAGTTAAAAGATATTTTCTAATTGAAAATGTCCTGCTTTGTTCATGTCTACTTGATACTTTTAAGAAATTAAAAAAAGGTTGAGCAGGTTTGAGCAGTACAAAAAAAAAAATCACTGTGCTCACTGGTATGAGGAAGTGTTTGTAGGAACTCAAATAAAACTACATTTGTTCTTTAAAAATAATAAAAATCTATTTTAAAAAAACTTTAAAAACATTTATACAGCATAAAAAAATGTATGAATTGCTGAACACTGATCTAAGGCAACATATTACCATTAATTCCCAGCATTTGAATAGAAATAAAGTCAATGTAGCACAAAGAGAACAGCTACACTGCACATTCAAACAGCACAAAAAAAATAATAAAACAGCCATCAATCAGCATTAATAAACGACTCAACTTCAGGGGGCGGTTCACAAATTTTAACAGATGAAAGTCCATTTCCAAAAGCTTCAGAGCAAAACTTTTTTATCACAGAAGTTCATGGCTATTGAAAACGTTTTGGATTTTTTTAAACTCAGGACGGATGAATATAGAAGTGAACTTTCCCAGGGCTCACTGTTTGAGGCCTTAGGCTCGGGCTAAAATGTATGCGTGTTTAATCATCATCATCATCAAGATCATCATCATCGTCGTCGTCATCATCGTCATCGTCGTCGTCGAGCCCGTCCTCTTCGTCGCCTCCGCTGCTCGCCTCCGACTCTTCGTCGTCCGAACTGACCGATTCTTTCTCCCTCCTCACAGCTATCAGGTGAACGGCCTCCGCAGGTGAGCTGGGATTACCGCCGCAAAAGCACAGCCAATCACAGACAGGCACAGAGAGCCGGGCGGGCTACTCGCGGTCGCATGTGCGCAGGGATGGCGTAACCAACTGACCAAAGCCAAAAAAAAGCCACTCGGTACCGACGAAAATCAAAAACAAGTGGTGGGAAGGTATATCAAAAGTCCCAAACCTTGAAAGCACCCAAGCCCAGGGAACCAATTCCATCCTTTGGAACAAATATCTGAGGAAGCATTTCGCCATGAAACAGGACATTGTTCACTTGGATTTACGCTCTTTGCCTGCAGACAGTTCCTCAAAAAGTAAAAGGAAGACTTTGCCCCAGAGAAAAAGTTGCTTTTGTCTGCCACTGGGTCAAAACTCAACTCCCCAATGGCGGACAAAAGCAAGCATATTAAAACTCAATTCACAGCAGCAGTATCTTATAGCACCCGGTTACATTAGCTTTTCTTTCAAATGAAAAAAGAAAATCACACATAGACGGTCTGTCCATGATTAAGTGATGAAAAACTAAATTAATGTCGAAAAATGGAAGGCAGTGTCACTTTTTCAGGCAGAACTGCTGCTGTGAATTAGTGTTAAAAGTTTCAAGACTCCCATTAAAACAAAATCCTCATTTACAAATTCTTTTTTACAGTTCAAAAGTTCTAACATTAATTCAGCAGTTAAACAAAGCAGCAACGCTATTATAAAAGCAAAAATGTTTACGGATTTTGCACATCAGTTAATCGAAATGGCAGTATTTATATCCAATTCTGAAAAAGCCCTTTTCAAAAAAACGAAAGAGGAATACCAGGATTGGAGAGGCTCACAGTGAAAGAGAAAAAGTTGCCTCTCATTGGTCTCTTCCAGTAGAACGGACCCAAGCAGCCAACCAGACTCCATACCAGTCCCGAAGAGGAAGAGGAGCAAAAGATCTCCGGTGCTTTGGGCCTCACCACACGGTCGGGTCCTTCTCGTACTCTCTGGGGTCCATCTCAAAATCATTTTCCGCTCGCCTTTTCCTGCAGAACCTCACGGCCACGATGATTCCCAGGATGATCAGGATGAATCCGCAGGCTCCTCCCACCACCGCGGCCAGGATGCTGATCTCAGACAGGGTCACTAGTATAAAGAACAGAAAACATAAAAAAAATGGTCAAACCGGCTTTTCCTCCATTTTTTTTACGTTTGCCAGGTCTCTTTGTGGGGAGGCCCAAAGGTCTACTGGTTAAGTTTTCTCTAGTTCAGATTTACATTCCATCATTTTATTACTTACTGAAAAAAAAATGAGCAAACAATTTAACCCTATAATGCCAAATGTCTCATATTTGATAGATACGGTTTCTGAAATGTTTTGCGTCTGACACCTTTTGCATAATTTAATGATAAAAACTTTGCTCAAAATCCTATTGTACACAATCAGATACACCTGATAACAGGGGGCAGAAGACTACACAAAAATAATAATAATAATAATAATAATAATAATAATAATAATAATAATAATAATAATAATAATAATAATAATAATAATAATA